TTTTTATAGAATTCTAAAATAGTATTTTTTTAGTTGCTATTTTATACTATATTCTGTGTTAGTATTAGTCTAGTGTAGCATTCTGTTTTTTTGTGTACTATTCAATACTATATTCTGTTGTTTTTTGTATTCTATTTTTGTACTACTCTACTATAATTCTGTTTTTAATGTTAGTCCATAGTGTATTGTTTTTGTGTAATATCCTATACTATATTCTGATATAGTATTCTGCTTTACTCTTCTATATTATGTTCTGCTTCTGTAGTATTCTAAAATAGTATTTTGTTTTTGTAATATTCTATATCATATTGTTGTTTTAGAAGTCTAATATAGTATTCTGTTGTTATTATAGTATTTTGTGTTTTGTAAGATTTTATACAATGTTGTTTTTGTTTAATAATTATAGTCTAATATAGCATTCTGTTTTTGTGTACTATTCTATACCAATTTCTTTTGTAGAATTCAGTTTTTTACTATTCTGTGCTACATTGTTTTTTACACTATTCTGTACAGTTTTTAGTAGCAGTCCAGTATATTATTCTTTTTGTATACTATTAAATTTTTTATTTTGCAGTATTCTGTCTTTGTACTATTCTGTGCTACATTGTTTGTTTTTTGTAGTAGTAATATTTCTTACTAGTCTATACAGGGTTTTTCTAGTAGTAGTCCAGTATATTATTATTTTTATACTATTCAATTCTTTATTTTGTAGTATTCTGTGCTACATTTTTGTAGTATTTTTTTTACTAGTCTATACAGATTTTTTAGTAGTAGTCCAGTATATTATTATTTTTGTGTACTATTCAATTCTTTATTTTGTAGTATTCTGTTTTGTACTATTTTTGTATATTCAGTTTTTTTTTTAAGTTGTACTGTTTTACACTATTTTCTGTAGTATTGTAGTGTTTAGTAGTAGTATAATACTATTGTATACTATACTGTGTTTTTGTTTTTTAGCATTCTTGTATTATATTGTATTTTTGGTGTTCAAAATACTGTTCCTTATTTGTAGTATACAATATATATTTTGCCATTTTTTTATAGTAAACTTTACTATGTTCTGTTTTTGTATAGTATTCTATTATTTCTGTCAGTTTTGTAGTAATCTATACTATATTCTCTTTTTGTAGTATTCTATACTGTATACGTATATGTATTATAAATCTACTCTACTTGCTATATTCTAAGTACTAAAAAAATTTAGTGTGAGTGTGTTGTTTTTGGTGTGCACTAAATCACACTTGAAGATATCCCCACTGATACCATCACCACATCGAACACCAAACTCTCAATAGAAATGGATTTTGGATTATGTAGCAACATGATTTATTTGTTTTTTCCCAGTTCACTCATCCTAAAGAAGCTCAGCTCCTTCACTGGAGCTTAACACCTTTTTTTACCATGTCAGTGTAACTAGAGCAGCGCAAATTGAAAATTGCCCCATGTCAATAGATTTACTCGGCATCAGCCCGGATGTCAGCGCATGAGGAGTAAGAGGAAACCCTTGACATTTGCCCTGGTGTGCTAACATGGAAAAGCCGGTAGGGCACTTTGCTGTCCCTTTGTTACCAGTAGATCTCACTCCAATCGCAAGCTGCCTTGCCAAGACCTTATAGGTACTGCCGAAGCCATATAAATATTTAAAGCCTCAGTGCCGTTGTATTTCTGCTGAGAGCAGCTCGATTTTTAACATGAGCAATATCATTAAGCTTTCTTTATTTATATCAGACACTTTCATTTGTGGTGGTCCACTTACCTGGGAGGCATCTTAAGTGTCCGTTGTTTGTAATAAATCTGTTTTGAGAGTGTCCTCCGGGTACGACATCTCGTTCGCCATTTTCCCACCAGCTGACTGGCGTAAAACAGACTGATGGCTTTTTATCATTCTCCAGTTGCTGCTAGGTAAAGAGATGGACTCTGTTATTGATCAGTTTGGACATGGACCTTGTTAATGAATGATTATAGACCGGTAACTGTAAAGATGAGTTGTGGTTGTTTGGTTTATGAAGAAGTAATTGGTCTCTCGGCTCACAGTTTTTTTGTGTTTGGTGGCAAGCTAGTAATTTATGGGTGCTCTAAAGAGGTTATACTTACCCAGGGGACTTTTGATTAATGATTGTTATGTTTATGCACAAAATTCATCACAGTAATGACTCTCTGAATGTCTCTCTTTTCTTCATAAATACTTAATTGTTCAACGTCAATACAGTACCAAAAAACGCTCTTCCCTTACTTTCTCTCATGAGTTGGTCTCTGGGAAAGACCAGGCTGATCTTTGCGACTCGTGTGTCCTGCTTGTGTTTGTTCAATAAAGAGAAGTGCAGGGAAACGTGTGAGGCTTCTAAACTACCATCACCTCTATGAGACGAGGACGGAGGCACGGCTCAGAAATTAAGGTCTGATTCGATGGGAAAGACAGCTGAGTAAAAAAATTTATAAATAACCCGAACGTCCCTTCGCTGGCGGTTGCTTCCCTCTGCAGTGAGCTGCTCTTAGGAGAGCAGGGCGAGATTGTTTGGCAAAGACATGTCATTCTTGGCGATGACTCACCCTTTCCTGACAGTTAATGAGCTCTGTCTTGCTCTCGCTTCTCTCCTTATTGGAGGCTGGGCTCACAAATGAACTGCAGTGGGGGTGAGGACATTAGATTTCCTCTGCGCTGCGTCACATACAGCAAGGAAAGCCAAGAACAGACAAATGATTACAGCCGGTATGATACCCAGTGGAAGAAAAAAGCCAAGAGCAAGGAACTATGGGGTCTGACATTGTATAGAGGCTCAAACAGGATCTGCCAGATAATGTGCTACAATTTGAGCCAGTTCCAAACCTAGTTAATTGCCTGCAAATGCTGGTTCAATAGACACACTCTTAAAAATAAAGGTTCTTTATTGGAATCTATGGTTCCATGAAGAACCTTTAACATCCATAGAACATTTCCAGGTTCTTTAGTAGAAAGAGGCTCTTTTAAGGCTGATCATACACGGGGCGACTTTTTTGAGCAATGTTGCTTGGGCACTTTCCCATTGAGAATGGATAACAAGTGTCTATTAGATCGGTCGTGGGCCCGTGTCCCATCTGGTTGCCCCTTGGCGGCAACATTGCTCAAAAAGTTGCCCCGTGTATCATCAGCCTAAGAACTGTTCACTGAAAGTATTCTTCTATGGCATTCGCTGCAAAAAAAGCAAAAAACAAACACAAGCCTTTTAAAATCTTTATTTTAAATAGTATAGGCAGCTGAATTCTCATTTAAAGTCAGAGTAGGTGATTTGGTTCAAAATCATTTTTATGTTATGCTGGTTGAAAGTCCATATGGTCTATATGTATTTCTATCATCTGTGGAAGGCGTGGGACCATAAAATGTTTGTCCAATCAAACCATGGTTAATGTTTGTAAGGGAGATATAACCCTTAGTCAGGCTAGGCACCGTATTGAATTCAACGCGGATGAAAACTATGCAGTGAAGGGTTGGATTACAGTCTTTACAATTTCACACACTGTATGAAAGTCCTATATCATGTCATTTTCACAATTCTCATTTTTCACAACTGTTTTATGGAGTATGTACTTCTATCCCTCATAGCCTCCTTTTCATTCCTGTCAAAAAAATGATATATGGCGCTACCCTAAGGACTATTTCTCAATTAAAACATTTCTGATGGCACAACGCATTCCACAAGGTTGTAAATGTATCGGGTTACCATGAAACCAGGGTCTTGTTTGGCGTCCTGGGGTGTTACAAAGTATTTGTGAAATCTAGCTAACAAAATATATATTGTGTGTTGGAGTGTTCCAGACGCTACATTATGCTGCTGGTTGAAAGTCCATATGGTCTATATGTATTTCTATCATCTGTGGAAGGCGTGGGACCATAAAATGTTTGTCCAATCAAACCATGGTTAATGTTTGTAAGGGAGATATAACCCTTAGTCAGGCTAGGCACCGTATTGAATTCAACGCAGATGAAAACTATGCAGTGAAGGGTTGGATTACAGTCTTTACAATTTCACACACTGTATGAAAGTCCTATATCATGTCATTTTCACAATTCTCATTTTTCACAACTGTTTTATGGAGTATGTACTTCTATCCCTCATAGCCTCCTTTTCATTCCTGTCAAAAAAATGATATATGGCGCTACCCTAAGGACTATTTCTCAATTAAAACATTTCTGATGGCACAATGCTATATGCTGTATAATTTTGTCAAATCATACATGTAAGGTGGATTTATTTCCAGGTAATGGTTTTCTTGGGGGTTACACTTCAGGAGAAATGTGCAGCCTTTATAGAATGACTAATACATTTCGCCAGACTTTGCAGATTGCAATATGTTTCTTTGCAGTAATCTACTCATTCAGCACCTTAGGATGCTGCGTGTGGCTCGTCAGCAGGCAGAGAAATGGGGTTCAGGGTTTCTCCATGCTGTTCAGCAGCTCTGGATCTAACTAAATCAGAAGTCTGAAGAAGCCTGACAGGGTCTTTACGAGGCCATGAGCGCCGTGTCACTCAGAATATCCCCCTTTCTGTGTTTACAGAGCCATATGCGATGGATCGCTTGGTTCTTTGTATGCAGATGTATGGTTTCGGTTTAGCCTCTCTATGACTGCAGGCTTTCATTTGTGCACCAGCATAAGAGATTTACTTATAATATTTCTAAAACATAAATTGGAGGAACAGTGGCTTGCCTTGTCCCAATAATAAAACCGCCGGTCTTTGTCTTTACAGAAGGCTCACCTCAACATCCTGTATAAATCATTTTACTCCATATTTTAATGGAGTTGTTTTATATGCTAAGATGATGCATATATCTTAAAAATAAGATTTACATGCTTTATGTCAATGGCAATGTGCTTATTTAGCAGTAAGCAGGTAAGTTTTGGTTATTATTTCTTAATAAAGAATATGTTTTGGTAAGATTAAAATTTAGAGGATAACTTGTTTAATTTGATCAGTATCAGTTAACTTATTTGTTGTTTTTCTATCCTTTGTCTTCTCCCACAGGTCCACCTGTGAACGTAACATGCAACATTTTTATTAACAGTTTTGGATCCATTGCTGAAACAACAATGGTGAGTATATTGATTAAAGTGATGCAACCCTAGAATTTTTTGTGATTCTATTTTTCTTTTTCTCTTTTTTTTTTGATTAGCTTAATTTTCATTTGTTCTTTTTTTTTTAATCCAGATTTTAACTGTAGTCCCAGACTTTTGGACCACAGGGTTAACACGGACTTGACATGTAGGAAAAAATATTTCTATTATTGTGGCTACGAATTAACAATTAGTTCCCATGACTTACTAATTCATCACCTTGTTTTTAAGTAAATCCTGAGCACTATTTACTAATTCGTTACCTCGTTTGAAGTGCATTGTGCGCACAATTTGCTAATACGTTCTGTTGAATGATATGTGAATAGCCTATTGCACCCTCTATGTGAGCAGGCTATATCTCTGTTACAGTCCTGTCATACTTTATTCATAACAGCAGCAATAGTCTTTTCTCACTATGCAAAAAAATACAATGGGTTTATGAAATTGCGGACAGGAGTTAGTAAAACGTACCCACGATTTCACTAAAATGAGCTAACAAATTAGTAAAACATGCTCATGATTAACTTAAAAGAAGAGAGCGAATTAGTAAATCACAAATTGTTAATTCGTGGCCACAACATGAATATTTTTTCCTGCATGTCATGTCTGGGGCTCCGTACCACTCACAACAAGGGCGATAACTATAAAGTTTGAATAATCATTCTAATTCTGTGGAAATAGGAATTTCCACACTATACCTGAGTGAAAAAATATATAATAAAATTTATTTTTAAATACATTTATTTTGTGCTAAGTATACTACAAATACATTTAAGTGTTTATGTGCTTAATACAAATACCCTTCAATTGTACTTTTGGTATACTAAACTGGTATAATTAAGGTCTGCTGAATTGGAACAACTAATTTTGTACTTAATGCACTTTAATTGTGCAAAGTAGTGCTGAGGACCAATTAAAGATACACTGAAGTATTTTCGACTGTTGCAAGTATACTTCAGGTACACTTTAAATACCTTGCATTTAAAGATATCATACAAAGATCATACAGTCCTTATTAATAGTGATATTAAAACACATTTTAGGCATAATATTAAGAAATGTGCATTGTGCAATAAAGAAATACTCAGAAATTTTACATCAGTATTAAGTGATATGTGAAAAAAAATATGTTAATGGATTTGAAGTATACTTAGTATGAAATCAATGTATTTTAAATAAATGATGGCTTGGTTTTTTATACAATAACGACACAGATAAACAATATTGTTGGAATCACTTTCAGAATGTTTTTTTTTCAACTGATGAACAGTAAAATCATTGACACCGAATCAGAATCCATCTTGCTTTAAACAGCTTGAGAATTTCAAGCGGCAGGCAACAAAACTGCAGCACGAGCATATAATAAACAGACCATTATCATCCGAGGCTAATATAGTTATCATTCCTGATGCTTTATGTGATCACTCTTTGCATAGTAATGAAAAGATGGTGAATTGAATATGTGAACCCATTGATAATATTGATTATATGCCCGTAACTACCTCTTGAACCATGCTGTTTTTAATGTGTTTTCAATGTCCAAGCATTGCTAGATGGTTGCAAAAGCAATGAAAAAATTTCCAAACATTGTTCTGGTGAAGGTCATACTTTTTTCGAGCCTTGATGAGCACAAAACTAAGTAATGCCAAGATTTCATGTTTGGCACCAGCTGAGCAGCTCCAAAACTTCAGTGGCTTGCAGAAGCCCCTCAAGCAGAACAAATGCAGCGCTTTCCACTCTTTCTTTCCTCTATAAGCAGCGGAATTGATCCGAGTTGCTCATGCTCGTGTTCACACTGAGCAAGCGGCGGTGAGGTGGTGGGGCAGGAGCAGGTAACGCCAGCCATATCGATAAATCTTTAGCGCTTATAGGGCAGCCGAGAACAATGTTTCATCCAGTAAAGATCTGAGCGACTCCGGCCACTATTGAGACGGGCGTTCCCCCCAGCCTTTCACTGTCCTAATTGTTTACCCTGTTTTGTAAAGCACGGGGGGCCCACGGGAGAGGCGAGTGGCTATTTAATTAGCTCGCCGGCTCTTTCATTTTCTTGAGGAAGCACGAAAGCGAACGTGTACATTTCAACGTCCGTCATTTGTTAGCAGAGTTGGGCGCGCGAGAGTCGTGCAAACTTTTTCTAATATGTCACCGTCAGGATAGGATCTGGCCTTGGGCTTGAATCGCATTATGAGTGGGTTGTTGCCATAAATCACTCTCCTTAGCCTAGAGAAATCAAATCAGAAAAAAAGCTGATGAATGTGCGCCCACTCCTCGCTTGTTTGCAAAATCATTCTGTCGGAAACTTGCTGTATGTTTGAAGCGTTCGACTGCTGGCGTCCTGTTTGGTTGTAGTAATGGATGTCAGATATTTGCAGTAGACAAGAGCAAAAAGTTAGACTAATTTTGCTATATATATGCGTGAATTTCCGTGACGTTAAATGAGTATAATGTGCATTTGCCGAGGAGAACAGATGTGTTTACATAACACCTGAGAGACACCTGCTACCGGTAATGAAGCCGCTATGTATCGCTCTGTTGTTTTTGCAGGGTTCATTTTGCATCCGTGGGCTGTTTATCATAAAGGAAAAATATTGACATAGTAAAATCGATGGGACTTGTTCTTTTCCCGTGCTATGGTGGCTGTGCTCTCCGAGAGGCAAATGTAATAGCCTGAGACAGATGATTCTCCTCCATCAAAATATTTCGAAAGTCTTGGGTCACCTTACATTAGGATAATTGCGCTGAAATGTCCTTGCATGTTGAAGCTGATTGCCATTGCAAAGGTCATCCACTATATTTTGTGCCGTGCCGATCATCCCAAGGTACATTAGTGCCCAGACAGTTTAATGTTCTCCCTGAAATGATATGACCGCATGCCTGTTTTGGAGAAGAATGGACAATTATGGCAGCGTGTTGGGGCGAAATGCCACTGCTTTACGGTGTCTGCTTTTAAGCACTGGCCATCTCACCTGTCTGCCTGCATGGATAACAATTATCTCAAGCAAAATGTATACTGAGAGAACACCAAATTTACTTAGACTAATATTAGAAGAAAAAAAAGCATGTTCTTGTGGAGCTTCACAGGTTCCTGAAGCTGATTAAATGTGCTTGCTTCCTCACCTCTGATCTATTGACATGGCTGTCTTTGTGCGCCCAACAGGATTACAGAGTGAACATTTTCCTGAGACAGCAGTGGAACGACCCACGGCTGGCCTACAGCGAATATCCCGATGACTCCCTTGACCTTGATCCCTCCATGTTGGACTCCATTTGGAAACCTGATCTGTTCTTTGCCAATGAAAAGGGAGCCAATTTCCACGAGGTTACTACTGACAACAAGCTTTTGAGGATCTCCAAAAACGGGAATGTATTGTACAGTATAAGGTGAGAGGACAATATATAATCTAATTCTGTCAATAATACATTATACGGTGTGTTCGCACACTTGTAAGGGAGACCGGGGCTAGTTGTCACAGCAGTGTTTACGGCTGTCTGTATTTTCAGGGTGGATTTATTTCTGTGTGCCCTTTGAAAAAAAGGACATACAGTTCATTAAACACACGTTGACCTTTTGGATAACATGGCTCAGGTCATGTTGTCACACTATATGGTGTAAGTTGTCGCAGTGGAGCCTGCCAATAAATGCATATTATAGAATTACAAAAAAAAAAAAAAACATTAAAAAAAAAAAATATATATAATGAAATAAAAATGAAATAAAATCATCATTAATCAGCAAAAATGTAAAAGGTAACATACAAAAACCAACAAATATTGTAGTTAATAGATTATATAAAATTATAAAACATATAGCAACTTGCTTGTCTCTTTTAACGTAAAAAACTGTGCCATCATATAAGTACATTACATTATATATGCTACATTTTATTAAAGAAATCATTACTTTTATTCAGTAAGGATGCATTAATTGAATATAATTAATTAATTTAATTAATCCACAGGTGACAGTAGGCATGGGCCGGTGTGAGATTCTGACGGTATGATAACCTTAGATAAAAAAAAATATCACGGTTTCGCGGTATCACGGTATTGCGATTACAGCTCTAAAATATGTTATTTTTAAATGTCTGGGTAAAAAAAAATATTTTTTTCCACTGAACAGATTTTATTTTTAAGAAACATATAGAACATTTTGGAACAGTAAACATGTCAGGCTAAATAATTAGAATAAATAATTAAATTATTCTTAATTAAATGCAGTCACTTAAGTGAGCCTAAACCTGCAGCTCAACAATAATCAGAACATAAATCAATTATTTTCTGTAAAAAAAAAAAAAATCCCTATAAATGAAAGAAAAAAAGGAGTCACTTAAGTGAGCCTAAACCTGCAGCTCAATAATCAAAAATATAATCAAAACATAATTTCTGTAAAAACAAAAATAAAAAAAATAATAAAACATGCAGTCATTAAACCTGGAGCTCAACAAGGTTTTTGGAGACATGCTCACTTTCTACACATTCATCTTTCAGTCCAAGTTATGATGCAGGAATGTTCACCTTTCCCGGATTAAGTTTGGAGTGGTGAGGTACGAGGATGTGTGCACATACACACATAAGGAAAGAGAGAGCGCGACTGTCACACACACGGTCTCTCCGTACAACAGTTTGTTTTTGAAATGTCCTGATTTTGAACAGATGTAAACAAGGGCAGGAGGCTTAAAAGTATAGACGTGATACCAGCTAAATTTAATTATTGTACTAAATCACAGACAAGTACAGTACATACTTTAGACTGCTATTCCTCACTCTGTGAAGTAACGTGAGGGAGGAAACTAGTTGACGTTAGCTAGTTAATTAGCCATGTCATCTGCCTCGGTAGCAAGCCAAATAGTATTTCAACACTGAAACAAACGGCGGGTGGGTCTCTGTCTTGATCGGGGTTGAAAGAGGGAGAAATGAAGATGGCACAGATATATAGTTTATGTTCGACCTGGAAGTATTTATTTAGCGATCGGAGCTAAAACGTCATCTGTATGGAACACCGTTGTGTACGGAACATGGTTAGTCTACGTTACCCGAAAAATTCCCATACGACAGACTTCGTCTTTTTCGACGGGGGAAAAAGTTCCAGGGATTCATCTCCTTCGGCCATCCCACACACAGATGACTCTCACTGACTGCTCGCACTAACCGGAGGGGCCCGAGGGGGAGGGGTCGTGTGACTCGTTATGCTCTTCGCTGCACACAACTGAGGGAGTCCTGCACTTTCCGTCTTTGACGACAAGTAAAAAAACTGCACATACCGCAGGAACGGTATAACGGTATTAGTGGTTTTGGACTTTTCCAAACCGTGGTATACCCTGAAACCGGTTATTGTCCCATGCCTAGGTGACAGTAAAAACTTTTTTTAATGTTACAAAAGATTTCTACTTCAAATAAATGCTTTCTATTCATCAAAGAATCCTGGGGGAAAAAACTATCACCGTTTCCAGAAAAATATTAGGCAGCACAACTGTTTTTAACACTGATAATAATCAGAAAAGTTTCTTGAGCAGCAAATCAGCATATCAGAATGATTTCTGAAGGATCACGTGACACTGAAAACTGGAGTAATGATGCTGAAAATTCAGCTTTGTATCAAAGGAATAAATTACATTTTAAAACAGAAAACAATTTTAAAAAGAAATAATATTTCAAATTATTACTGTTCTAACTATTTTTAATCAAATAAACGCAGCCTTTGTGAGCGTAAGAGACTTGCTGACCCCAGACTTTTGAACGGTTCTGAATCTTATTGAAATCAGACACAGTTTAAACTGCACAGCATGTTTGCTTGATTGTGTGGTATAATTTAAAAGTCTTTTATCATTAAGAAATGAAAAGGCTTAAAGCAAAAAGATTATGAGTATCCTTCTAAGCATGTTTCCAATTTCTAAATTCTATGTCTTATCATTGTAGAATTAAAAAGGACTGGGCTTGTAGTGAATAGCCGTGTGGATTGGGAAGCCTCATCTCTTAACTTGACACTATCAAATGAACCTTTCAGATCAGTTTGGTCTTAGCTGTGAACTCCCTCTAGATTGCACCAGCCACAGCGCACAGTTAAATTGAACATTTCAGGTAAATAACCACTATCCTGTGATAGTGACATGATTACAGAGTGAGTTTCAAAACAGAGCTCAGCTCAGGGCTGTTTCTTTCTCTAGCTTTAGGATCGTTTGAGACAGAGTTAATAATCATAGATTTAATACAGTTTGGGTGCATTTCTTAAAGAGATAGCCACCCAAAAATGACAAATCTCTCATTATTTGCTTATATTCATGTTGATCCAGTCCTGTATGCTGTTATTTCCATGATAATAACAATTCATAGTGACCACAAGCTGACAAAAGGCACCATAGAAATGGTCTGTACAACTTCAAGGAACACGCCACTATTTTTGAAAATAGGCTCATTTTCCAACTCCACTAGAGTTAAACAGGTGAGTTTTACCGTGTTCGAATTCATTCAGCCGATCTCCGGGTCTGGCGGTAGCACTTTTAGCTTAGCTTAGCATAGATCATTGAATCTGATTAGACCATTAGCATCTCGCTCAAAAATGACCAAAGAGTTTCTATATTTTTCCTATAGTTTTAAACTAGACTCTTCTGTAGTTACATCGTGTACTAAGACCGACGGAAAATGAAAAGTTGTGATTTTCTAGGCTTTTTAAAACTATAAACTATATCGAGTTTAAAACTATAGGGAAAATATAGAAAGTCTTTGGTCATTTTTGAGCGAGATGCTAACGGTCTAATCAGATTCAATGATCTATGCTAAGCTACAGCTAAAAGTGCTACCGCCAGACCCGGAGATCGGCTGAATGGATTCGAAAACAGTAAAACTCAACTGTTTAACTCTAGGGGAGTTGGAAAATGAGCCTATTTTCAAAAAATAGTGGAGTGTTCCTTTCAGCACTATATTTTTAGTCAACTGAAGTGAAGAACTCTCTTATTCACTGATAATCCTCTACTCCGTTGCAGCTCTCAAGTCAAATTTGGCATCTATGTTCCAGGTTGGACATCAATAACATCAAACATTATTGGTTCTCCAGTGTCTCATAACCAGGTGTTTCATAAAACCAGAATAGCTTGCGCCATATTTGATTTGAGAGCTGCAGTGGAGGTGGAAATTATCAGTGAAAAACAACTGATGGCAGCGAGCAAATAATGGCAGAATTGTAATTATAGGTGCAGTGTTGATATTGTTAATCAAAGCTAAAACCACTAAAACATGTTTGCGTTATTTGAAGTAAAGTTGAAATCTAATAAAATCGGAATAATATTACACTGTAACCAGATGCACTTGATTAAAGGTTTTTTTTTTAGGAGTTTTTGTCTTAACCAGCCGTGAAGGAGATACAAGATGAATGACAGCAAATTCTATTTTAGAAATTATTTGTATTTATGTGACGTCGTGGCTGGAACAACAACACACAAACTATGACAATAATAATTTCAGGTTCTGATTATGTGCTTATTTAATGTTAGTTTGTGTCACCTTTATAGCCTTACTGAAAGCAACAATGAATATTTTACTTCAGATCTTAAAAATAAATTAAAGGAAACATAAACATTAAAACTGTGAACTCATTGTGAACCGACAAGCGTATTCCAAGACAAAAATGGTATCAGTCACTCAGTATGTATTTTAATAATTTTAAAATGGTTTAATAATTATGAGTTAGATAGTGCAAAGAGAGACTGGCCATACACCCTTCTGACTGGCTATGATTTTTGATTGATATTGTAGCCATATTGTAGTCTGTTGTGGACAAATGAATTACTTGTTGCTGGAGTCTTATCGCATCACATCTGGTTAGGACAGGGTATTGTAATATTAGCTGAAAAAACAAAAAAAAATAAATTATAACTGTTGCTAACTAATTTAAATAAATGTAAGTATTAACATTTCTAAAATTCTAAAATTAATTATTAACTCTTTCCCGCCATTTATGGAATTTTCCATCAGTGAGACAACGCTTTCCCGTCATTTCTGTGTGTTTTCACTGTTATATGGTAGGAGGCACTATTACACATTTTCTGAACAAGTATTGAATCTCAGGATCAAAACACGTAGAAGAAGAAGCAGAAACAAGCGATTGCATATGTAAGCAGATGAATATGTAAAATAACACGATCATCAGGTCTTAAACAGCATATAAATCAAAACTGCCAAACGTTAGTGAATAAAATGTCGATCTAGGAAGTGGTTTAGGACTGTGAACATTTGGGGGGGGATGAAAGTGATCTACTCCATCTATGTTTTGATCATCAATCTGAATCTAATCTAGAACAATAAAGTGGTTTTCTCAGCTTTTTGAACAAAATGGTGCTTTTTTATGAAACTCACCCACTTTCAAGTGTTGATTAAAGAGCAGGTCATATGGGTTTTTGAAAAATGTCTTTTTTGCAGTTTGTAACATAGCTATTGTTCAACGTAAACAGTCTGCAAAGTTGTTAATCAAAAAAGTGCATGATAAATGAAGATATTGTCTCTCAAAAGAATGAGTCGCCTCTGAACCGCCTTAACGAGTCGTCATATTTTCGAATCTTCTGCCTGTTACATATATACGTCACAAGGTAACACATTTGCATAATCCCGCAAAATACGAACTCTCTGACCTGCCCACAAACACTTCCGCTAGAAACGCCCTCATCAAATCATGCTTGCGATGGAGTTTTCGGTTGAGCGACTGCATCGGTATCATCCTCGGACTCGAGCTCGAATTGATAAGGTAATATCGATGCTATTTTTGTAACCGTATAGCATCTTTGTTTACAAGTAACCCTCTGGAGCAAAAAATTAATTATGGTAATTGCCGTTTTATTTCTGACACGCATTGTATATGGAAAGACCAATCACAACAGACTTGGCCAGCTGACCAATCAGAGCAGAGTAGGCTTATGTAAGGGAGGAGTTTACAGACCTTAAGCTCAGAACTGCTTCTAACGAATCCTTTCGTAATCATTGAAAAATTATTGTAATATTAAATGTATATTCTGAGAAAATTACAATGTTTTCTGACCTTAGATGCATTTAAACCTGTTGTAGGTGACTCCAACACAATATCAGGACACTTTAAAATACCATATGACCTGCTCTTTAAAAAAAGAATGCATAAAGTTTTTAAAATTTTTGTTTGTTTGTTTGTTGATTTAAAAGCAGAGGCCCTATTCTTTCTTTTGACACATTGCATGTTCAGATATGAATACAACTAAATATTCTGTGGGCCATGAAAATTTTGTGAAAATTATTTTTAAAAATGCTGGTGGTGGCTGGCAAAAAAAAAACGCTGGTGAAGAAAGAGTGAAGTATTAAAATCACTAAAACTAATTATTAATACAAATTACAAATTATAAATGCAATTTCTGAAAATAAAAAGGCTAATTAAAAATATTAATAAATGCCATAATATTATATAATAATACAAAAAAAAATACTGATTGGGTGAAGTGTTCCTTTAAATTTGAACGGTTTGACCAATGAGGAAAAAGGAGGAAAGTACAAGCTGTCTAATTTGATCTGTGGTGGAGTTTGTTGCTGATGGCGGCTGTTGTTGTTCTCAGAATAACACTGATTCTGGCCTGCCCCATGGACCTGAAGAATTTCCCTATGGATGTGCAGACCTGTATAATGCAGCTGGAGAGCTGTAAGTATGCCCTGATCCTTTCAGCCAGATGGAGAGGATTTATTCAGTGGTGCAGAGATGGATGTTGTACTGGCTGGCACCAGCAGATGAAGAGTGTAGTGATTTAAGGCCGCCTTCAAGTAGATTCAGCAGTCAGCAGAGAGACGCTTTCAGCACAAGCCAGCGCCGGCCCTTCCTGCCATTACAGTTCTCTGTTATTTACTATTGATTCTCAAATTTGCCAGATTATAGCGTGTTTCTGCAGGGGAAACTTTGATTGAAGCTTTTTGATGACCATTAGTAAAATGACAGATGTGGCATGGTTTTTTGTTGAGGGGAAGAGAGTTTCGGAGTGGGTGACAGAGGGGGTTATGTAATATTTGAACAAATCTCTCCCATTAAAATAAGTTTTCTGCATGTCAAGCAGGCAAGCGCACTAGCTTTGATTTTGGTCTGTGCGATTTATTTCCACATTTTGCTGTTATATATATTGATTTTTCATGAAATGTATGTTCAGTGCTGGGTAGTAACTGATTAAATGTAATCTGGATTACGTAATCAGATTCCAAAAAGTATGTACTTGTAATTAGAGTATATCCCATTTTAAAATACTCATCAGATTATAGTTACTTTTTTATGGATTACATACGATTCACACAATGGCCGTAAATTATTCATAATTTATCGTTTCTCCCAAATTTGTATTTTTTCTCTTCTAAATTCTCCTTTCTATAAATCCTACTGTCATGCCATTTAATTTTGACTATATTCACAAATGTCATGTACATAACTTTGCAAACCATGCTTCTGAATTTAAAGGAACACGCCACTATTTTTGAAAATAGGCTCATTTTCCAACTCCCCTAGAGTTAAACAGGTGAGTTTTTACCGTTTTCGAATCCATTCAGCCGATCTCCGGGTCTGGCGGTAGCACTTTTAGCTTAGCATAGATCATTGAATCTGATTAGACCGTTAGCATCTCGCTCAAAAATGACCAAAGAGTTTCTATATTTTTCCTATTTAAAACTTGACTCTTCTGTAGTTACATCGTGTACTAAGACCGATGGAAAATGAAAAGTTGCAATTTTCTAGGCTGATATGGCTAGGAACTATACTCTCATATATGTAATAATCAAGGAACTTTGCTGCTGTACCATGGGTGCAGCAGGCGCAATGATATTACACAGCGCGTGAAAATAGTCATAGCTAGGTAACTTCCAATAAGCCTATTTTCAGGCGCTGTGTAATATCATTGCGCCTGCTGCACGCCAGTACACGATGTAACTACAGAAGAGTCAAGTTTTAAATAGGAAAAATATAGAAGCTCTTTGGTAATTATTGAGCGAGATGCTAACGGTCTAATCAGATTCAATTATCTATGCTAAGCTAAGCTAAAAGTGCTACCGCCAGACCCGGAGATCGACTGAATGGATTCGAAAATGGTAAAACTCAACTGTTTAACTCTAGGGGAGTTGGAAAATTAGCCTATTTTCAAAAATAGTGGAGTGTTCCTTTAAGGGAAAACTTTTTTTGTCAGCCAAACCCCTTAAAATAAAAAGTTTACTTGAAATAGTTAGTATTTCAATAATTTTAACAACACATGCACATGTTTACAGTTCTCTGATCTTGGTTAATAGTCACATTGTCATGCAAGTAAACAAATAAATATATTTCTGTCATGACATCTCTCGAAGGGATTGGCATGGTAATGTACATGACATTGTTAATGTATTTGGTCTTGGCGGAATAGATCTACTATGCTGCTGACTTGCTACTGCCAATACATCCACAATATGCTGCTGTAAGCATGTAAGAAATACTGCTGCTGCACATAGAACACATATGAATAACCCCATATAGCATACATGAATCACCCCGTAGCAGATCTATACAGGTGGAGCTGGGGAAGGTGGAGGGTTTCTGAAGTGCGCTGCCAACTGCTACAGCAAACAAAAGCCAGGTATTTGAATATTGAGCAGCAAGCTCATTGGCTACCGATACAGGAGAGAACCAATCAGCTGCCATGTGACAATGATGTCGCCAGGTCAGATTGAACTAGACCTATCGGACTGCACAATCTAGAGTTTCATGCCAGAACTCTGTATTTATATTTTTGGTGTTCGAGTGTTAAAATAATTTTTATTTCACATTTTTTTGATTTAATTAATGATTAGCTTTTCATCAACTCACTATTCACTCACTATCAACTCTAATGTTTAATGCATTTTATAATGTTGATATAAAAGTGGAATATATTTTCTTTCTCTTTTTTATATCAATATGGTACATTTAGTGGTAATTTTAAGTTTGATCAAAAGTAATCGAAAAAGTAGTCAGAATACATGACCTAAAATGAGTAACTTAGATTACATTACTAATGTTACAGTTTTATGTAATCAGTAATGCACTACAAATTGTAAGTAATCTACCCAGCACTGTGCATGTTTAGATCATTTCTTTCAAAATTTGGGGATCCACTAAAATAGGAGCCGGAACCATTGTCAGACCTGCTGGCACAAACTAAGCTTTTTTTCTGCCATGGACAACACTCATCTATTGTTTCGTTGTTCCTCCACTAGTTGGCTACACGATGAATGATCTTATATTCGAGTGGGACGAAAAGGGAGCCGTGCAGGTAGCAGACGGACTGACTTTACCTCAGTTTATAATGAAGGAAGAGAAGGATCTGCGCTACTGCACCAAGCACTACAACACAGGTGAGTGTCGTTCATCTGCATGTGAAGCTGTAGTGTTTGTTCAGTGCTGACACTACACTAAATGTGGCCGGACACAAATGCTAAGCACTGTTGTTGGATCTATTGTTACGAAGCACTTGGTACCAAAACGGGTTCAATGAAAGGTTGTGGACCAGAGCTCTGCTTTGAATCTTCTTTGTGAACTTTCGATTGGGTTAAATACCATCTGTTCAGCCAGCGTTGACAGTCAGGATTTGTTCCACTCCAGATAAACTGGAAAATTGCTGAAGGCCAGACTAGTTCAGATCGAAAATAGAAGCAAGCCAAAACAGCAGGGTCAGTCAAAGCAGATTTCCTGTCTCCTTTCTTGAATTATTATCATTGGGATAAGTTTGTGTGGTTTTGTTGTGTTCAATAAAGTTTTATGTTGGACATGCTTTCTTTACTTTTGCTTTAACATTAGGCTTTTTTTTTTTTTAAGAAGGTCACGTTTATCTGAAATCATAATAAACAGGCTTGAGAGCTAAGAGAACTTGTAAGGGTTAAAAAGGTTACTGTATTATGTTACAGTTACATTAAATATTATTAGATTAACGTTACATTTAGTAAAAAGGTGATTCGAATTTTACCATTCCAATTTTATTATGTATAATGTAAAAATACAGCACTGTCCCAAATATTCCTAGCATTGATGTTCAATCATGAAACACAAGCAGGATGAAATTTAAATTTAAATATTTAAATACAAATGATTGCTTTAAATTTAATTTACTCAAGAACAAGACAATTACATAATTTTCATTGTGTATAACAAGCAATTACAGGCATTGCCGCAACCTGAGATATCAACTATGCAAGACTTTTAACATATCATGAAAGATATTTCATAAGGGAGGAAAATATATTAATGTTAATGTATTAAATATATGAAAAACATATATATATATATATTAAAATATAGTCATAGGTTAATGTAGATTTCTCAAAACGGGTTCAATGAAAGGTTGTGGACCAGAGCTCTGCTTTGAATCTTCTTTGTGAACTTTCGATTGGGTTAAATACCATCTGTTCAGCCAGCGTTGACAGTCAGGATTTGTTCCACTCCAGATAAACTGGAAAAAAGGCCAGACTAGTTCAGATCGAAAATAGAAGCAAGCCAAAACAGCAGGGTCAGTCAAAGCAGATTTCCTGTCTCCTTTCTTGAATTATTATCATTGGGATAATGAGAGTTTGTGTGGTTTTGTTGTGTTCGATAAAGTTTTATGTTGGACATGCTTTCTTTACTTTTGCTTTAACATTAGGCTTTTTTTTTTTTTAAGAAGGTCACGTTTATCTGAAATCATAATAAACAGGCTTGAGAGCTAAGAAAACTTGTAAGGGTTAAAAAGGTTACTGTATTATGTTACAGTTACATTAAATATTATTAGATTAACGTTACATTTAGTAAAAAGGTGATTCGAATTTTACCATTCCAATTTTATGTATAATGTAAAAATACAGCACTGTCCCAAATATTCCTAGCATTGATGTTCAATCATGAAACACAAGCAGGATGAAATTTAAATTTAAATATTTAAATACAAATGATTGCTTTAAATTGAATTTACTCAAGAACAAGACAATTACATAATTTTCATTGTGTATAACAAGCAATTACAGGCATTGCCACAACCTGAGATATCAACTATGCAAGACGTTTAACATATCACGAAAGATATTTCATAAGGGAGGAAAATATATTAATGTTAATGTATTAAATATATGAAAAACATATATATATATATATTAAAATATAGTCATAGGTTAATGTAGATTTCATCTCCACATTTTTTTGTTTAGTATGTTTATGCTTATTTTTTCATCCTTTTTGTTTTTGTTTCTTTGAAAATATGTTTGGAAGAAATGTAAAATATGGTTTATCCTTTGATAGACTTACAAATTATTTGAATAGGCACTTCCTAATAATTACTTCGAAATTAAAAAAAAAATGTATTTACAAAATGTAAATTATTTGGAATCATTTGAATAGACTCTTGCTAATAAAAAAATGGTAACACTTTACAATAAGGTTCCATTTGTTAATATTAGGTGACTAAATTAGTTAACATGAACTATCAATGAAAAATACTAAATACTAAAGCATTTAATCATCTTAGTTATTGGAAATTTCATCATTTACTAATACATTATTAAAATCAAAAGTTGTGTCTGTTAATATTGTTTAATGGGCCTGGGCTAACTTGAACAATGAACAGTTGTATTTTTATTAACTAATGTTAACAAAGATTAATAAATACAAGATTATTGTAACAAATGTATTGCTCATTGTTGGTTAGTTTATGCATTTACTAATGTTAACAAATAAGACCTTCTTGTAAAGTATTACTGAAAAATGTAAGTTTAAAAATTAAATATAAAAAGTTATTTACAAAAAGTTAATTATTTGTATAGGTTCTTGCTAATAAAAAAAGTTTAAAAAAAAGTAAATAAAACCATTTATTTACAAAACGTTTACACACATTTTTGCTCATGCAGACCCATCATTTTCATTTTGTATCAAGTATTATTCATCTAGATATCACTTTTCTCTTGTCTGTATTTGCATAAGTGACCATGAGGTAATCCAGAACAAACTAATACCAGTCAGAATTCATTACCATAATAAGGATCAATATTTGCACAATTATCTCTCTGTCTCTCTTTCTCTCAATCCTGTCTGAGGTGCATCTCATATGCAGGAACAGATCATATTTCTTTGGTTTGCTTGATTGCACTTCACCTATGGAATAAAATCACTGTCAAAAATACGTAATTCAAAGCATTTGTGTGTCATTTTAATTTACTCGTGCGTAATTTAAAAGTATTGTATGTTTGTAAGTTTACAGATACGAGATTTTGTGTGTTTGTTAGAGTACAACTCCAAAATGAATGACTATGACAGTTTACAGACACAACGCTTGTTTTCACAACAGCTCTGTTACACGCACGACATGCGAATTGCGACCACGAAGCGAAACGACTGTCAAAAATACGTCATCATTGTCACAGGCATTACTATCCGAGGGAAGATGAATCGATTCCACGAAGTGCCACCGTTTTAAACCACTGGCGCCAAAATGGCGGATCAGCAGCCAAGCGCTCACTCTTTTTTTTTTTTAATTGCAATTGAAAGAATAACAACAGTTATGAAGTAACGTCTAGGGCTTGTTTATGAAAATGTGACAGTTTAATAGGTAACTCACTACACTTAAAATTACAGGACAATAAAAATTTAAGTCCACCACAACGTTTGAAGAATAGGTTAGGGATCCAAAACCAGGGTAACTCATTATTAGATATGTATTTTTGACAGTCGTTTCACACACCGCACTTCGTGGTCGCAATTTGCATGTCGTGCGTGTAACAGAGCTGTTGTGAAAACAAGCGTTGTGTCTGTAAACTGTCATAGTCGTACATTTTGGAGTTGTACTCTAACAAACACACAAAATCTCGTATCTGTAAACTGTCGTGGGCATAGATTTTGGAATCCAACTCTGACAAAAAACAGAATTACATACAATACTTTTAAATTACGCACGAGTAAATTAAAATGACACACAAATGCTTTGAATTACGTACGATTATTTTTGACAGTGATTTTATTCCATATTCACGTATCACCTTGGTGTTTGTGCACATCAAAGTCCATGGAAGACCCTGAAGATGCCCTACCACTCTGGTCATCCCTCACTATCTCCATCTCTCTCTCTCTCTCTCTCTCTCTCTCTGTATAGTCCTGTTGTTCCGGTGCAAGCACTGGACAGTCGGCCCTGTGCTTGAGTACTTGCGCTCTGCTGCTCCCCAGTCAAGCATTAACTGGAAATTAAAGTGTCGTTTTTCTCAGATTTATTAATGGCAATCTATTTTGATTTGCAGAGCAGGCCTAAGCTCTGCAGTCCAGCCCTCATCTCAGTTTGTCTTCCTCATCCGACTGCATCCTCCAAGTCCCTTGGGAGAAATAGATGTGGTTTTAATTTTAGTGCTGGTCAGTTGCATCTATCCTGTTTCTCACTTGGCTGTTTACGTTCAACAAAGATCGCAGTCCAAAGAAAGTGTTTGCTCTCTGTGTTTGAGCTTCTGTTTGAGTCAATACCTCTGGTTGCTTTTTATACTAGCATTTTCGGTAACACTTTACTTGAAGGGGTGTGCATAAGACTGACATGACACCTTCATAATCATGACATGACACATGTCATGAATATGAAGGAGGTTTTATGCATGTTTATGACAGCTGTCATTAAGTGTCATTCGCTCAGTTATGTCATTTTTAATGCAAATATGACATTATTTGACCTAACCCTACCCCTACCCTTACCCCTAACCATAGCCCATAACAAAGACATCTCAAACAATGTCATCTTTGCATTAAAAATTACATAACTGAGCGAATGACACTTAATGACAGTTGTCATAAACATGCATAAAAAACCTTCATATTCATGACATGTATCATGTCATGATTATGTAGGTGTCATGTCATGATTATGAAGGTGTCATGTCAGTCTTATGCACACCCCTTCAAGTAAAGTGTAACCACATTTTCTTTTGTCTTTATCTATATTCATAAATGCAACAATGTAGTCAATACATAATTTTCCCAAGGGTAAGGGAATAATCTAGAGGTTTATGCTGCATCAGCTCAATAACAACTGCGAAAACTCGACAATTCCAGTTCAGCTGAGTAAATGCTAGAAGTTAAATGAACCTTGACCCTGACATTTTTAGCTCAGCTTTCTAGTTATAGTGTGGGAACATGGAAGCGTCACGAGCCTTTGAAACTAGGAAAGAGATTTGACAGTTCTGGTTCCAGTTCCTATTTCCTATAGCAGTTCTGGATCATTTATGGATCCATTTTTTTGAACTTTAAATATAGGAATGAGATTTGACAATTATGGTTCTGTTTACGATTCCTCTTTTTTTATAAATTGTGATTGTATTGCAATTGTAATCATATGTTGTGTTTTTAAATCTATTGCTGCATGATTAGATCATTTTAATAATGCATTTTTAACAATTCTTCCAAAATGTGTTTACATGGACTTTTTACTGACTTTTGCAGATTTATTTATTTATTTTTGAGGTGGCATAAATACTAAACAAGCAATACTAAACAAACCAAAATGTCATAACATATGTATTCGCCAAATGCTGTTTAGCAGTTCCTGATCCTTAATAGTTCCTCTTTTGTATTTTTGAGGAAAAAAATGTTTTGCCAAATGATTAGATAATTTTAAAAATAAATCAATTTTAAACAATTCTTCCAAAATGTTTAAATAGGCTTTTAATGACTTTTGCAGTTATTTATTTTATTTATTTATTTATTTATTGAGGTGACATAATTGCTAATCCAAAATGTGGAAACATTTAATTAATTTATTTTTACTGACAAACACATAACACATATCTTTAACTACTTGTTTTCATATGGGAAAAACTTTCAGTAAATTCACTGATCCAACTCTGTAAACTGTATATATTTGATTCACTAAAAATCAGATTGCACTTGTTGCAGAACCAACTCATAAGAGTAATTTATTCTGTAATTGGACTGCACTGGTCATGCTCTCTGATTTGCTTCATAGATTCAGTATATGTATTCTAGTTTGGTAAACTGTTAAAGGAATCGAACATCATTTGGTTCTGGTATTTTGGAACCGTTTTTTGAATAAGAACCAGTCCTTGCTTCCCAGCCCTATTTAAATGACGTGTTTTAAACCTGCAAAACCCTAGAGAATCAAATAAAACACGATTTGACGATGAAAACCGCATGCAATTTGTGTTTCAGGGAAGTTCACCTGCATAGAGGCTCGTTTCCACCTGGAGAGACAGATGGGCTATTATCTGATCCAGATGTACATTCCCAGTCTCCTGATCGTCATTTTGTCTTGGGTGTCCTTCTGGATCAACATGGATGCTGCCCCTGCCCGTGTAGGTTTGGGCATCACTACTGTGCTGACCATGACCACCCAGAGCTCAGGATCAAGAGCTTCTCTTCCTAAGGTCAGTAGAGTCTCCATCATGCTCATCCCAACAATACAAATCCCTGATGGCGTAACGTTTACTCTGTTCAGAAGCATATTATTGATGTACCTGCAGTATGTCATGTTCAATTGCTGTCGACATAAACATTAATTCTGACCATGCTGGAACCTCGTAAATAGTTTTAAGACTTGAGATGCTCATAATAGGCAGCAGCTTTGTTAACAGTCACACACATGTGCTAGAAAATAATGGCAGTGTCACATGCATCTTTGTATCTGGCCACACTGAGCTAAATAAGAAAGTAGGGCTGCACCATTATTCGAAATAAAATTGAACATGACTTGTGCGATTATCAAATCAACTTTATTAGTTTTTCAGTAAATGCTGCTCCACACAAACTCTTGTCTCAGCCTCAGATGTCACGCCTACGGAGCGTTGGCTAAACGTCTGATGCATACAGCACACAAAAGTGGATACACTTCAGGAGTTTCGAAGTTGTCATTGAATTGGTTAAATTATACAGGATTTCCGGGAGACGTGTGTGTCGCGTTCTTTAACGTTCCGCCTGGAAACAAAGATGCTGTGCCGCCAAACCCCCTCACGAAAGAAGAAAGCCGTCATGATTACAACTGTGACGACGAGCGCTTATCAGGATCAACTAAACGCTGGATTTTCAAAAGTATGTGAAAAATCTAATTTCGCGACATAGAATCTTTAAAATTCGTCCGAGAGTTTTACAGTCTGTTATTGTGGCGACATTTCCACGCCCCGAAACGTGATGATGAACGAAACTAACTGTGATTGGTTGTTTGACATGTCGGTCAAACGGCCTCATGGGCGGGCCTAGGCCAATGAAAGCTGCCATGGATTCCAGACCTTCAGCCGTCAGTCTGAAGGTCTGGCTACGCGAGACTACACAAACTCCATCTCTGCATCTGTTCTGTTTGGGTCACTTTAACATGCATTTGGGAACACAACATGTGCCAACCATCTTCACATACTTGTAATGAGAAGTGATTGTCAACTAATGAGTTTTTGATTGATATGCGGTTTTCCATCTTAAACTTGGAAAAAGTGATTTTGTGTTATAAGATCATGATATAATATTTTGAGTAGATCGCCCACCCCTATGCAGCAATAATGATCATGCATGTTTTTAATGTCAGCAGCACTCAACCATGTCATTGGATTGCTGTACCTCTGCTATATCCAGCTACATTTATCTATACAGCTTTGTCTTTTGGCTAAGGCTAAGGTTTTGATAGTAGGTGTTATTGATGCAAATAATTATAAAAGTTTCAATTAACAAAGGAGAAAGGTTTCAGTAAGAATTAATAATTCTGCGATTAGCGGTGAAGATCAGAGTGGAGTATTTCATCAGGGCTGTCTCAGCCCAGCGAGCTCCCGTCATTTCAACAATGCTTTGTGAACCGTGTGCTCTGTAATGCCACCTAAACTCCACAACCACTTTGGTCACTGGCTTGTCAAATAAAGTGAGTCTCAGCCAAGCTGTCGGGCTGGCAGCCGAGCTCTTTTCCAGGCCAAAGAAGCAGCTCTTAGCGCGTCTCTACTTTCTGACGGAGATCACACAGACGTGCATAGAGACTCGGCTGCTGTGCTGCTGAGCCTAAATTCTTAAAATTGACATATTTTATTCATTAACACTTTGATCCTCAATCTCAGACTGAATAGAACAGTCCTTTTAGCTCTCTGGGTTTCAGATTAAAGGTATTCTTTCCTATAATGGGCATAATTTACGACTTTCTCAACTGGAAAGTTTTGAGCACTTGAGCTAAGCGAGTGACTCAGTGAGTGAACTTTCAGCCACGCGGTGACTCAGTGTTGTTCTTCGTTGTTTATTGCCAGTCCTGTTGGTTTCGTCTCGCTGCAGGTCTCGTATGTGAAAGCCATTGACATTTGGATGGCAGTGTGCCTTCTCTTTGTCTTCTCTGCTCTGCTGGAGTATGCGGCAGTCAACTTCATTGCACGCCAACACAAGGAGCTGCTGCGCTTCCAGAGGAGGAGAAGGCATGTTAAGGTGAGCCCTACGGTCCAAACACACTTCATCTATAAGCCCTGACCCACTGTGATGAATATTCACTGTGTTGGGGATTCAAACCTTCAGTGTTCTCATGGTTGCATTCAGAGTTAAAGAATATAGTAAAAATTCGAAGAGCAGAGTCTGACGAAAAATGGCATGGTGCCACATACAGGGCTTTCAAAACTTGTGCATTATTGCTGATGAAAATAAAAATCACAAGCTAGATTCACTAGTATACTTGTCAAACTAGTGTCCTTAAGAGGGGTTGCTTTGGGGTCTGCAGAACATTTTAGAGAAAAAAAATAGTATTGCTAACATATTAATTAAATATGTTTAACACATTTAACAGATTTGATAAATATTGCTGAAAATAAATATAATATTTAAATGTTTTGTTTAAATTGCCTTAATAAAATAATAATATATGCCACTATTTAATGTATTTTCAGAATACATTAAATACATGTATGCCTTTATATTGCTTAATTCATGATTAATATTTTTCACATAGTGGTTTTATATATGTGACCCTGGACCACAAAACCAGTCATAAGGGTCAATTTCTCGAAATTGAGATTTATAGATCATCTGGAAGCTGAATAAATACGCTTTCCATTGATGTATGGTTTGTTAGGATAGAACAATATTTGGCTGAGATACAACTATTTGAAAATCTGGAATCTGATGGTTGCAAAAAAATCTAAATATTGAGAAAATCGCCTTTAAAGTTGTCCAAATAAAGTTCTTAGCAATGCATATTACTAATCAAAAATTAAGTTTTGATATATTTACGGTAGGAAATTTACAAAATATCTTCATGGAACATGATCTTTAATTAATATTCTAATGATTTTTGGCATAAAAGAGAAATCTATAATTTTGAGCCATACAATGTTTTTTTGGCTATTGCTACAAATATACCCCAGCGACTTAAGACTGCTTTTGTGCTCCAGGGTCACATATGAAAATGTTAAATTTTCAGCATTATTACTCCAGTCTTCAGTGTCACATGATCCTTCAGAAATCATTCTAATATGCTTATTTGATTTTTTTTTTTTTTTTTTGTGGAAAACATGGTACTTTTTTTGAGGATTCTTAAGTGTTCAAAAAGAACAGCATTTATTTGAAATAGATTTTTTTTCACAACATTATAAATGCATTTACTGTCACTTATGATCAGTTTAAGCATTGTTGTATTAACTTATTTAAAATAAAATCTTACTGACCCCAAACTTTTGAAAGGTAGTGTATTGTCATTATATTTTAATAAAGCGGTCTTCCATTATGGAGTCATCATATTTGGATGTTCCGGTTTGATCTTCTCTCCTGACTTTAGCATGCTAAGACTGAAACCACCATAATGCGAGTTGAAGTTGAAACATTAATGCTCCTTCCATTCATAAAGTAATGTGAGTTGGCATGGTGAAATCTTTCAAGTGGCTCAGAAAGCTCAGAATAACTCCTAAATCCCACCGTTGTAATCCTCAGTTTGCCTCTGGGCTGCTTGTAATATGTGCAGTGAGATTGGTCTCTGGTTCTCTTAGCCCCATACAGGTAAATCCACAGAGACAGTCTACACAGCCCTCGCTGATAGCAGGCCTTCCACCATTCAGACGCCAAGGGTAAATGGTGCAAACTGCAAATCCAGCTGTTCGGTATAAATGCCACAGTTTTCCATCCAATAGATGCCCAACCCAAGCAGCTAGTGTTTGGATGGTTAGCATGTTGCAGATATTTTATATATATATATAATTTAATGCATCCTTGCTGATTAGAACTATTAATTTCTTTCACACAAAAAAAGAATGACCCCAAACTTTTGAATGGCAGAGTACATTGCAAATATATACTTAATATATACTTGTCAAGTATATATACTTGAAATTAAGAATATTTCTCCTTTTTGTGTTTGACGTCATGGCTTTGGATAGTCGCTAAAGGGAATGCTCTCAGAAGGCTCTCACAAAGCTCACATGACTGCATGCTTAAATATGTGTGTATATGTAGTGTTTTCATTTGAGCAGGCGCAGCTCAGCAGTAGGTTTGCTGCATTATCATTATCACCCCCTGGTTAATGAAACTCCCCGGCCACAGTGATCCACGGCTGGGGTTCAGCCCTTCATTCTGCCTCACTGGGGCTATCAGTCAGTGTCTGCTCTCTGCACTGCAGCCCAGAGCTGTCACCTTCCTGCACTACACAATAAAACAAGACCCCGGCATTACCACAGGAGCTTATCGACCTCCTCCTCCTCCTCCTGCATGTGCCTCTGAAAGGCACCTGGCGTCGGGTGTAGAAAGAGGATTCCCCCTGCTGGACAACACAGAGATGTGTAGATGCTCTGCAGTGAAGGGACTGGCCCCAGAGGAAGCTTGTCTTGAAAATACCTCAATATTTATTATTATTTAAATCTTGAAACTGCACTCTTAAAAATAAAGGTGCTTCAAAAGGTTCTTCAAGCGATGCCATAGAAGAACCATTTTTGGTTCCACAAAGAAACATTTAGTCAAAGGTTCTTTAAAGAAGCATCTCTTTCTTACCTTTTTATAATCTGAAGAACCTTCTTTCGCCACAAAGAAGCTTTTGTGAAACAGAAAGGTTCTTCAGATGTTAAAGGTTCTTTATGGAACCATTTAGACAAAAAGGTTCTTCTATGGCATCGTGAAGCACCTTTATTTTTAAGAGTGTGGTATAAAAATGAGGTATAGAGTCCTGGCAGGTAGTGCACATTGGGCAGCCTAAATCTGGCTTGTGTCACCCTCACTCTATTTTTGCTTAGCTAACATTAGCTATCTTGCTACTGAGTGCCTCAAACTCAAAGGCTGCTTTCAAAATTGCATACTCTGAGTAGGTACTTCTGTTGAATAAGTATGTACTTCGCAATCATTAAAAAGTATGTTCTGAATGAAATTCGGATGACATACCTACTGTGAGCTACGAGGTTGTTAATCGATGCTATATGCTTTTGTTGAAGCCATCAGCCTGCATTATCTCGACTTATTATTTAAATAAGCATGTTCAACCATGGAATATCTAGTGGGGGGAAAAAAACATTATCCTTGATTCAACAAAGAAATCTCCTCCAGTTAGAGAATAGCAAATCAAGCAACAAATTTTAGCACCCGCCCAACTCTCGTGACGCACAAAGAATGACATAATAAGTCTTGTTGACTCTCAGAATGCTTAAATATGTGCATATTTTGCAGTAAATGCAAAATGTGTTTCTGTATGCATAACCAACATCTTAAAATAATAATAAAAAAACTTTATATTCATCCGTTGTTTTTTTACGTGATTATTCGCAGTGCTTCATGGGATTGTAGTTCTTTCCCTCATTGTCTTCTTGTCTGATTTTCAAATGCAGCTTTGCTTCAAATCAAATGTTGTGATTCACCTCGTAGCAAGTTTGTTGGTTCATGGCTTAAAACTCTAACTTTTTTTAAATCCATGTGTAAAAAATGGATGTGAATGATATTTCCGTAATCAAAGCCACTGAAAAAGTGGACGGACACTGTTACACTCTACTGGATGCGCATTTCAGAATCTCGCTGGGAGCAGAAGGTCATCTAAGTAGTTTTTGAATGCTGTTTTATGAATACTGTGATTTCGGAATTACTACTTTTTTTGCCTACTATATAGTAGAGTAGTATGTATTTTTTTGTATGCAGCCTTAGGCTACGTCCACACGAAGCCAGAGTTTTCCCTATCCGATATTTTTTTTCTCCTCGTTTCAAGAAATATCTGCGTCCACACGAAACCACAAAACCAACACAAAACGATGTAGTATACATTGCCAGACCAGTATGTGGCGCTGTAATTCTGCCACAGAGATACACTAAAAATGGAGAAGAAGACTTGGACTATGCGCATAAACCTTGCGCGGTATACAAGCGAACATGGAACAATACATTTATTAATCTGTGTTAATGTTAGTTAATAAAAAGACAATCGTTCAATGTTTGTTGATGTTTTTGTTGCTGTCACGTGATGTAGCTGTGTCTGATTAGGGGCGAGACGTGGGCTGATGACGTCATTGTTTCAGAAAATATACGGATTCGCTGTCCACATGAAAACGCAAGGGCGGCGCTTTCAGATTTATCCACTCTGGGACCCGGTTTCAAAAAATATCGGTTTCACTCTCCCAAAACGCCGGATCCGTTTGGACAAAATGCCTGTACGATACAAAATGTATGCTTATACAGCTAAACGCGTCTCCGTGTGGACGGGGCCTTAGTGTGATTGGAGAAAAAAAACTGGGTGCTCTTACTCCTAGAAGTCAGTTAATCAGGTGTTACCTCTGAATTATTTCAACTAATCAGAGTGAAGGATGTTAGATGAAGAATAAATAGCTGAATTCTGAATACCATAGTAGCACATAAAGATTTGACAGAAATAGTAGTATGCTAGTATGCTACTACAAATTACTAATGTGATTAGTACTAATTACTAATGTACTAACTACTAATTACTAGTACAAATTACTAATGTACTAACTGTTTACTAATGTAAATGACTAATGAACTGTTCCAGTTTTGTGTGCAAAATGCACCAAACAGTCAATGAACAGAGCCAAAACTAGATTAAAAATATAATTAGTCATTATTGCATGCAGAACCTTTAGAGTTCAAACGAAATGCAAGCCCAAATCCCCAGAGTTTAATCTTAAAAATGTATTCCTCAAGAACAAGTTAATTTGCATAAATAGACTCTAATTTAGCTCTCATTCTTTAATAAAATATAGCGTTTGACTAATTGTTAGATTATTTGCTGGAACCAGTCCAGTTTATTGCTACACCATGCGGGTTTAACAGTGTACAGCAGACTACCAGAATGCCCCTGTGCCAGACTGCATGGCCTGGCAGAGCCTGGGTGAAGCAGTGTGACCTCTGGACTGCAGATGTCTTTGCTTTGCCTAACAATGACAAGAGCATATTAGCAAGTAGCCTATTGATGGAGAGTAATCACCTCATTAGGGCTGATTGTGATGCAGGTTGGATCA